GTGTCACCCCAATGTCACCTGTGTCACCCCAAACCTGCCCCGTGTCACCCCAAACCTGCCGCGCGTCACCCTGCCCAACTACGACAACCTGCCCGGGACCCTGATGCTGCTGTGCCTGGGGCTGCAGCTGGGGGACAGGGTGCGCCTGGACAGCGGCAAGGTGGGACCCCAGTGTCACCCCAATGTCACCTGTGTGACCCCAAACCCGCCCCGTGTCACCCCGTGTCACCCCAAACCTGCCCCGTGTCACCCTGCCCAACTACGACACCCTGCCCGGGACCCTCATGCTGCTGTGCCTGGGGCTGCAGCTGGGGGACAGGGTGCGCCTGGACAGCGGCAAGGTGTGTCACCCGTGTCACCTGTGTCACCCCAAACCCACCCCGTGTCACCCCAAACCTGCCCCGTGTCACCTGTGTCACCAGTGTCACCCCAAACCCACCCTGTGCCACCCCAGGTGTCCCCTGTCCCAGGTGGGCACGCTCCGGTTCTGCGGCACCACGGCCCTGGCTGGGATTGCAGGGAGGATTTCAGATTTGGGGTTTTTGGTGTTTTTTGGGGGGTATTTTTTGGGGTATTTTGGGGTTTTTTGAGGGGTTTTTTTGGGGGTTTTTTTGGGGTATTTTTTGGGTATTTGGGGTGATTTTTTTGGGGTCCCTGTCCCAGGTGGGCACGCTCCGGTTCTGCGGCACCACGGCCCTGGCTGGGATTGCAGGGAGGATTTCAGATTTGGGGTTTTTGGGGTTTTTTGGGGTGTATTTTTTTGGGGGTTTTTTTGGGAGGGTTTCTGGGGTATTTGGGGTGATGTTTGGGGGTCCCTGTCCCAGGTGGGCACGCTCCGGTTCTGCGGCACCACGGCCTTTGCCAGCGGGCAGTGGGCCGGCGTGGAGCTGGACGAGCCCGAGGGGAAGAACGACGGCAGCGTGGGGGGCGTCCGCTACTTCATCTGCCCCCCCAAAACCGGTACGGGACCCCCGCGACCCCCGGGACCCCCTGGGACCCCTGGGGTGGGACTGGGACCCCCAGGACTCCCCCAGAACCCTCCCGGACTCCCATGGGACCCCCCTGGGGGTTGGGGGATCCCCTGGGGGGGCTTCCCTGGACCTTTTGGGGGCAGGGGGGGTTGGACTGGGCCGGACTGGGCCATACTGGTCTGTACTGGTCCGTACCAGTCTGTACTGTCTGTACTGGTTTATACTGGTCCATACTGATCCGTACTGGTCCATACTGGTCCATACCAGTCTGTACTGTCTGTACTGGTTTGCTGGGACCCCCCAGGATGCCCAAGGACCCCCCCGGGACCCCCCTGGATCCCCCTGGGGTGGGGTTGGGACCCCCAGGACCCCCCTTGGGGTTGGGGAATCCCCTGGACATTTTTGGGGGCAGGGGGGTTGGACTGGGCCATACTGGGTTGGACTGGGTTGGTCTGGACCATACTGGTCTGTACTGGTCCGTACTGGTCCATACTAGTCTGTACTGGTCCATACTGGTCCATACTGGTCCATACTGGTCTATACTGGTCTGTACTGGTCTGTACTGGTCCATACTAGTCTGTACTGATCCATACTGGTTTGTACTGGTTTATACTGGTCCATACTGGTTTATACTGGTCCATACCAGTTCATACTGGTCCATACTGGTCCATACTGTTTTATACTGGTCCATACTGGTCCGTACCAGTCCATACCGGTCCATACTGGTTTATACTGGTTCATACTGGTTTATACTGGTTTATACTGGTTTATACTGGTTTATACTGGTTTATACTGGTCTGTACCAGTTTATACTGGTTTACACCGGTCCATACTGGTCTGTACCGGTCCGTACCAGTCCATACTGGTTTATACTGGTCCGTACTGGCCGCAGGGGTCTTCGCCTCGGTGTCGCGCATCTCCAAGGCCGAGGAGCAGCCCCCGGCGCCGTCGCCCCCCCCGAGCCCCCCGGGACCAGGGAGGGACAATGGGGAACAGGGGGGACCTGGAGGGGACACGAGGGGACACAGGAGGGACACTGGGATGGGGGGACAGTGGGGTCACAGGGAGGTCGCAGGGGGTCACAGGTCACAGGGGACACAGGGGGGTCACAGGGGGGACACAGTGGGGTCACAGGGGACACCGAGGGGACACTGTGGTGACACCGTGTCCCCGTGTCCCCCCAGAGTCGGGGGTCCCAAGGAGGAGCCCGGGGATGGCACCAATGAAAAGAAGGCACCGCCCGTCACAGGTGAGGGGCGGGGCAGGGCAGTGATTGACAGGTGGGTGGGGCAGTGATTGACAGGTGAGCAGGATGGAGTGGGGCACCGATTGACAGGTGGGCGGGGCATTGATGGACAGGTGGGTGGGGCACGACAATGCTTGACAGGTGGGCAGGGCATGGTGGGACAATGATTGACAGGTGGGTGGGGTGGGGCAGTGATTGGCAGGTGGGTGTGACAATGATGGGTGGGGCAGCGATTGACAGGTGGGTGTGGCAGGGTTCTCGCTGCTGATTGGCTGTTGACAGTGATATGACTCTGTCCCACTCACGTCCCCCCGTGTCCCCTCCGTGTCCCCCTGTCCCCCGTGTCCCCATGTCCCTCCCATGTCCCCGTGTCCCCTGGTGTCCCCGGTGTCCCCGTGTCCCCCCGGTGTCCCCGCAGTGTCACAGCCCAAGCGCTTCCCGGCCGTGCGGACCCCCAAGGACATCACATCCGAGAGCTCCTTCTCCAGGTGGGGACAGCGACGGTGACACCGCGGGGTGGCCCTGCCCCCAGTGGTGGCCCTGTCCCCAGGGGTGTCCCTGTCCCTGTCCCCAGGGGTGGCCCTGTCCCCACGGGTGTCCCTGTCCCTGTCCCCAGGGGTGTCCCTGTCCCTATGCTGTCCCTGGGGGGGTGGCCCCATGTCCCCGGGGGCTGTCCCCATGTCCCTGGGGGGTGTCCCCATGCTGTCCCTGTCCGTGTCCCCATGTCCCGTGTTGCTGTCCCCAGGCTGTCCCTATCCCCTGGGGGTGTCCCCCTGTCCCCGGGGTGTCCCCCTGTCCCATGTCCCTGTCCCAGGGGGTGTCCCCCTGTCCCCGGGGTGTCCCCCTGTCCCATGTCCCTGTCCCCAAGGGGTGTCCCCATGTCCCCGGGGGGTGTCCCCATGTCCCCTGTCCGTGTCCCCATGTCCCTGTCCCTGTCCCCAGGGGGTGTCCCCATGTCCCCGGGGGGTGTCCCCATGTCCCCGGGGGGTGTCCCCATCTCCCGTGTCCCCGGGGGGTGTCCCCATGTCCCCAAGGGGTGTCCCCCTGTCCCCAGGGGGTGTCCCCATGTCCCCGGGGGGTGTCCCCATGTCCCCAAGGGGTGTCCCCTTGTCCCCATGTCCCTATGTCCCCGGGGGATGTCCCCATGTCCCCGGGGGGTGTCCCCATGTCCCTATGTCCCATGTCCCCATGTCCATGTCCCTATGTCCCCGGGGGATGTCCCCATGTCCCCGGGGGGTGTCCCCATGTCCCTATGTCCCATGTCCCCATGTCCCGTGTCCCCCTGTCCCCAGGGGGTGTCCCCATGTCCCCGGGGGGTGTCCCCATGTCCCCAAGGGGTGTCCCCATGTCCCTGTCCCTGTCCCGGGGGGTGTCCCCATGTCCCTGTCCCTGTCCCCAGGGGGTGTTCCCATGTCCCCAAGGGGTGTCCCCATGTCCCCGGGGGGTGTCCCCATGTCCCTGTCCCTGTCCCGGGGGGTGTCCCCATGTCCCTGTCCCTGTCCCCAGGGGGTGTCCCCATGTCCCCAAGGGGTGTCCCCATGTCCCTGTCCCTGTCCCGGGGGGTGTCCCCATGTCCCTGTCCCTGTCCCCAAGGGGTGTCCCCCTGTCCCCAGGGGGTGTCCCCATGTCCCCAAGGGGTGTCCCCATGTCCCCGGGGGGTGTTCCCATGTCCCCTGTCCGTGTCCCCATGTCCCTGTCCCTGTCCCCAGGGGGTGTCCCCATGTCCCCTGTCCGTGTCCCCATGTCCCTGTCCCTGTCCCCAGGGGGTGTCCCCTGTCCCCAAGGGGTGTCCCCATGTCCCCAGGGGGTGTCCCCATGTCCCCATGTCCCTGTCCCCAGGGGGTGTCCCCTGTCCCCATGGGGTGTCCCCATGTCCCCTGTCCGTGTCCCCATGTCCCCATGTCCCTGTCCCCGGGGGGTGTCCCCATGTCCCCGGGGGGTGTCCCCATGTCCCCAAGGGGTGTCCCCATGTCCCGTGTCCCCGGGGGGTGTCCCCATGTCCCGTGTCCCGTGTCCCCACGCTGTCACTGTCGCTGTCGCTGTCCCCAGGCTGCTGTTCTGCTGCTGGTTCCCGTGGATGCTCCGGGCCGAGATGCAGTCCTAACCCCTCCCCCACCCCTCCCCTCC